TTTCGATTTACTCCCTTGGAATGATTTGGAAATAATACGAGTTATAGCTTGGTGTTAAGAATGACAAGGCTTATTGGCAATGCCGGCAAAATGTTTGAATATGTACAAAGTTCACGGTTCGAAGCTAGAAATTGGTATGGATTTCACTCCGGACAAGGTACCTTCATCCTGTTCGCCCTGACAAAATGCCAGTTTGAAATATGAGTTCAAACCACTTATATTCTTTGTTAGATCGGTAAAGCGTACATGTGACGATCTAATTGCCAATATTAACTTATATTGAAAGATATTGCTCGAATGTTATGCTATTCTGAAGTTGGGACTGCCCCTGTTTCAAGTTGATATAAAACGGAATGTGAAGCCACTTCAATAAGCATTGTTTTTCGAAATCTATGCTTAAGAACTCAAAAGTTAATATTTGCCTAAATATCATATTCCAAGGTTCCCCTAATCTAAATTTTCAACAGCTATTGCTGCCATACATTTAAAGAATCCAGTTTAGGGATTGCTCAATGAAGCCTAAGCGATAAGTCCTAAAAAAACATTATCTAAAAGAAACTTGTCTTAATTTTAAAGCGGGTCCCATTGGCATTAGAAGCGTGCTTGATTTACTGGTTGCTTATTTGTCTACCAATCTCAATGGCTTGTATTTCAATCCCACTGGGGGAGTTGATGAGACATTTTCCTAGTCTAAGCTGGATTCCATCCTAGACGAAAAGCCATTATTGGTTATACTGGACTGTAAACTTCATTGGAGTAATAAAATTTCCACTTTGCTTCACAGTGAGCAGATAAACAGTAAATTTTTTATATATAAATCACCTAATGCTTAAATGTCACACTTTTATATCACTTCTGTAGCACTATGCCGTTGCCAGGAAAAGAAAAAATAGTGCGAATGTGACGATCATTGCTAGGTAAAAATAGCACTTTTAAGATTCTCACTTATGCTTCCTTTTAAAATGTAATAGGATATTTTAGCTCCTTAGCAAAAAGTTTTTGCCTGAGGTACATGCCGACAAGCTATTCGCGTAAATAAAAATTGAAATTTTAAGAATGCTTTAGTGATTAATTGTGACATGACTTTCCATTTCTAAGGTAAAGTTGGTTGGAAGGAATTCGTGATTTGGTCTTACCGGAAACCGGAGGAGGAATGTCACGTAAGAAAGACTGTTGTATTGTGCGAAAAAGTCCTCGGCTCACAGTCCTACGACCACGATGAACCTGTGCTAAGCTTTCGTTTGTACCAACGTAACAGACATCATTAGCGCAAGAATCCATACTTTACTAAAAAAAGAACTATATTTCTTAAAGTATGGATTCTTGCTCTGAATATGTCTGTCACAATACAGATGGAGGCTTAGAATTGGTTAATCGGGGTCGCAGGACGGTGAGCCGAAGACTACTTCGCTAAATACAACAGTCTTCCTTATGTGGCAATCCTACTTTAGTCTTCAGTGAGACCAAATCACGAATTCCTTCAAACCAACTTTTTCTTCAAAATGGAAAGTCATGTCACAATTCATACGGTCTGACTTCGGGCGAGGTTTGTTATAAGAGATAATATTATGTAATGGTAATTTGGATATATTAGCAATCCCTCTCAGATATTTGGCATATTTATGTTACTAGAGGGTATAGCGAAGCCTCTAATTCTGCCACCATATGGGTCTACCTGGTTAGGCTTTTGTTATAGAAATGAGTGTTAAGCTTGAAGAAGTCACTTGGCTTATTCTTCATACGCTCTACTTCCTTATTTTATCCGTTTCAGTGTGTATAGTAAAACTGATTTATCTCAATATCCCGTCTCCCAATAATCAATTATTACCACTTGTGTCTTGTGAAAAACCCTTTTACTCCACCCAATTATGAAAAAAACAGGATCAGACAAAATCGCTAAGTTTACCACGATACAGAGATTTAAGTGCTTAGCCAATAGGCAGTTTTTAAACTCACTATGCTATTTTCCTGCGCACTCCATATTACCTGCCTTACCGAAGAGGAGGGGGGAGGGGGAATCTTTGACTTTTATAAAAAAATGGCTATTTAAAGCCAATACATTGAAGCCAACTGACGAACACTTCGTATACCCGGTCCTTCCTCAGTCAATAAAATGTGCTTAGTGAAAGTGATTTCCTCTGAGAACAGCAGGGTGTATGAATTGTATTCATTTCCAGAAGTGATCTGACCTCGTTTTCGCAACTTGGCTGTGTTGTCAGGGCGACTTAGTTGGATCCATCTTGTCCAAAGTCCTCTGCTATATAAGTTATCCTAATTCTCAGCGTCAGACCGTGGACTTAGTACACATCCATGCCGGCATCTTAGGCGGCATCATCAGTGATTCTTGCCATTTTTAGTACCAAGCTACAACTTGTTAAGGAGACAAATAAAGTCAATACTTTAACCAACTTTGTGCAGAGGACTTCGGACAAGATACATCCAACTAAGTCGCCCTGACAACACCCTGAGTTGCGAAAACGAGGTCCGATCGCTTCTATGCATCGAAAGGAGACTGCGAAAAAATTGAGGCCACAACATCTTAGTTTGCTTATCTACTCATTTTTGTCCGATCACCTTTATTCATTGGTTGGGGCCAGCTTTTAAGACAAACCGACCCATCATTTACGAAGTGAAGGTCTTGATGAGTGAGCTTGGGAAAGCATTATGACAAAATAGTGAGTCAATTGGAGCTACTACGGCGACACCGACTGCCAAGGGCGAACCCAAATGACAGAATAAAGAGGAGGGGGTGGTTCTCGAGGGGGGCAGTTGAGAAGCGCCACTTTACGTGTTCTCAGGAGCGTGAAGATTGCTTCCCGTGTCTGGGAGGAGATACTCACAGGGTAACCGCATAAGAGGAAAAATTACCGGTTATCCCGGATCTTCAGATCATGACGACGAATAGACCACACGCAACCACAAAAAGTCACACGAATAGGGGCACAGTTAAATAGGCCAGCAGATAGCTAACCCTCCTACACACATATATATACAAGATTCTCATGCATGCATATATAAGTATGCCAACTATGCATTCCCACATGCATATAAAAACAAACAAACACACACACACATCGGACTTGAGTGGTTTCACAGATTCACAAGCCTAGTTGCATGGGTGCATCTATACGAGCCTGTGAAGTCAAGTGCATGGAGATAGGGGAGGTGCAGAGTCAAGGTCTAAACGTGCATGCATGTGTGTGTGTGTGTTGTTGGAGTACAAGGGTAGGTGGGAATGGAGTGAGCATGTGGACGAACGTTCCTCCTCTTATCAGCACACAAAAGCCTGGATGAGTGGAACCCGCGATCGCTCAGGCGTGCGCATGCAAGTGCGCTCACACTACGGAAGCTGAGGAAAGGTACAATCAACTTCCTGATCTGCTCTCTCTGAATTACTCTTTCTTTGAAAGGGCTCACTAATTTGTTTCAAGGCAAATTGACTGTTTGCAGCAGGAAAGATGATAATCACGGTACCTATGGGCTGTCTGCACTCGCGTCCGCTCACCTCAACCAGGCAGGCCGTGCCTCATAAACGAGGTTAGGACGGCCGGTGTGGCAGAGATAGGAATGCGGGCCGAAGGGGTCTGAGCGAGGAGGTCCACAAGGCAAGCAGGGAGGAGAGCAAGTTTCTGTGGGGCTAATTCGCACACGAGTCTGGCATAACTTTGCACTGCACAACTGTACCGCATGTCCACATGTGCATCTAAGCCTGCTGACCCTCGTAAATAAGGTCTGCATATACCTGTCCGTCCGCCTGAGCTGCTCAGACGGAGAGTCTGCAAATCATGGATTATTCAAAGTTTTCCATTGTGTCCACACCTTGGCTCCCCTAAACAAAGCACTCCTTTCATTCTATCGCTCTCCCCCTGTCACATAGACACGCATATCCACACTCTCCGTAGTTCACTTTATCATTCGCTTTCTTCAGCGACCTCATGAGTCCACACCCTTCAGTTCATAACATTTCCTGTTCTATCTGTCCATCGCCTTTCGGACCACTGCCCTCCACCCAGGCTCTAGAGCCGGGTTTCCCACCCATTCGTTGACCCTCGCAACCATTTCCCTGTACCCACCCATGCATCGGCCCATGCAGCCATTATACGGCGCCTTTTCTACAAATTCTCCCTATTCTGCTCTATGGCGTAGCCCGATTACCCCCGCCACCTCCGCAATGCAGTATTAATAATGGTAATATCATTTGCGTATCAACACTGATTTCTATTAGCATTAATTGTGAGCCTGCTGTCACGAGAGCACATACCAAAACGCCACCACGATTGCCTTCCAGCCTCATTACCGCAATGCATGAGCCGCATGTAGTCGGAGCTAGTCTCCGTCATCTACGCTTTTGAAAAACCTCAAAAAGTCGTTCTTTGCTTCTGTACACCTGAGAAAGTGATGAAACGTCTGCTTCTGTACATAGCTACATAGGAATGAATGCTTAAGTGTGCTTGCTTTGGACTTTGCGATGGGGGGTGGTGGTGGTGGTGGTGGGGATTCGTCCCGATTGTGCAGACCTATAGAGTTTATCTGCCATGGACACAATAATGCCAAGTATTATTGCGGTCTGGTCATACTTCCGGATGGTCCTGCAAATGATGTATGTGTGTGTGGCTTGTCTTCTGGGCATGATACTTGGCAGCCTGCCTCCAAGTGATAAGTTGCCTTGGCACCTCGAAGGGTTTAGCTTTAGCCTACCTGATCATGTTTTCAAGGTCCAAGTAATTTTTAGGACTATGTAAGTAGATATACAGGGTGGGAAAGATAGACAGACCGACTGACTGAATTACTTATTAATATACATGCATAAATAAAAACGCGCTTAGCGGCAAGTAGACACAATCACACATGCACACTCTTAAGCCATAGCAGGAAGCAGCAGCATTCGGCGGACATGTGCACAAATCACTCCGGATAGACTCAACAAATAGGGCATATTGACTTATACTTCCACACTCGCATGTAGAAGTACATTTTCTCTTTGCTCATAGTATATATACATATGCATATAGAGAGCGCATGGGCCTATGTACAAAATATGAGCCTACTTTCCTCTGTCTGTAGTAGCACTCCTTGCCAGGTACGACCTGGTCTACTGTTTCACTTATCCCCTTTTTGCGTCTGCTCAACCATCCGGTCTCACGCACAGCTTGATGAGTTGCCGATCCACATATGGCATAGAGATGTATGAATTGTATACATGGACTGAGAAACTAAAACAGCCAGCTTATTCATTCAACCAGATGCATAAGTAAACTGGGCAATGTATATTTTTGTATGCATGGGGGTACATTACACTTTTTGCGTGCAGCTTCTCATGTATGTCTACAAATCTTCCTTTTAGGATAGGTCCTATAAAGCATCATGCATACGCCGTAAAAACGTATTCAAGTATGTTTGTCTGCATGTAAGCACTTCCATAACTGTTTGTGTGTCATCAGCATGGGATAAGGAATGCAATATATGTATGCATAATTGTAAAGAGGAAGGGAGAGAGCGAGAGGTAGCGAGAAGGACTGATGGAAATATCCTAAAAAACACGATCTGGATGGGTTTGAAATGAAAGTGGATTGTTGTGATTGTGCTAGTGGCGTGCCTGTATGCATACATTCATGAATGAGTCGTTGTAGGCAATGGCAACAGTTCCCAAGGCATCCACTTGTCCAAGTCCACATAATGCCAGGACAAGGCCAGAAGTATCAGACTGACCCGACTGCAGGGAGAAGGTGGGTGCAGCAGGAAGCTAAATCTCAACGGCCCAAGCCCTTGTTCTTGGGGCGGCTAAGGCAATGAATTAAAGCTCCAGGTGATTTTGACTGATTTTATGAATTCCTAAGTCATGTGTTATAATCTCAATTAGTCACATTCACAAGCGCTATTCAGCCGACTGCTCAATGTAGCTGAACCAGCGCTAAAACTTTGCTACAAGGCAAATTAGCTACATTTATGATTGCCAAAGAAGAATAAACTCAAACTTAATATGACAATTAGTCGACCAGACTTGTACCAACTGATCTGAACAGATCGCGAGAGTCGACCGCTTGTTTCATGATGAATAGTAATTACGTGAACGAACTTTTGCGGGGCGCAAGTTGATTTACTCTGATGAAGTATTCCAATGGGGAAGCGTACTGTGTGGAATACATTGCAAAATTGTCTCGTCTCCATCAAGTTAAATGTAAACCTTGTGACATCATGTCACTGGACTCTCCAAGTTTGGGTGTAATAATCTCGTAAAGTGGATACACGGGGAACCGAAGGACTAACCTGAGATTCGAACACTAAGATGGAGCCGACTACAATGCCGGCGAAGCGTCCGAGAATGCGCCAAGCGCATGGTCCAAAGCTAAAACTTATCATAGCTACTATGACAGAGAACTCGGGAAAAGGTACCTTCATCTAGGTCGCCCTGGCAATATGACAAAGTTGCGAAAATGAGGTCAAACAACTTTTAAACTAGAGAATTGTTTCGTAGTTAGGACTTTTGACTTATGCATAAAGCCCCCGGCAAACCGGTCTAGGAACCATACCCATCTGGATTTAATTTTCATCATAGATATAAATAGTTAGTGGGTTTCGATTAATCTTGTGAGGTAACATTATTGGAGAGAC